GGGCCTGGGGTAGGACTGGGGGGGAGTGGGGCAGTGGTGCTGAGGGGGGGGGTCGGTTGGAAGGGACCTGGAAGTGTGAGCTCATGCAGGGCGGCCCATGAGAAAAGGTCTGGGAATCTGGGGGCCTAGTGTGTGGTATGTGAGCCAGCGGGAGCGGCTGGGGAAGCTATGGAGAGGGAAGTGGGAGGTGGAGCTGGAGTGAAGTGCGGGGGCAGTTGGGTGGCTGCTGGGGGAGAGGGTTGGGAGATGAGGCCCTGGAGGTGCACAAGGTTGAGGAGCGGGATACTGGCCCCTCAGGGCTGAGCGGGACTAAACAGCTTGCAGGGGAATTGGGAAGTGCAGGGGCTGGTGGGGAGGGGGGAATTCAGGTGAATTATAGGACTCCGGAGCTGGGTTGAGCGGCTCCCCTGTGTGGGCCTGGGACACTGTTGGATTTTGCTTGAGGGAACAGGTAGTTGCCTGTGGGACTAGGGATGTGTGGGATGCCATGTACGGGGGTTTGGCTGCTGTGTGAGAAGAGGTGGAACCTGACCATTCCCTAGCATCCCAAAGAAAGAACTGGGTGCCCCCTGCCCGAATAGTTTGGGCGGGGTAGGGCAGAGTGTTGCTGGGGAGGAGTCTCTGTCTCACCCCCTCACTGTAGTGTGTAATTGGGCATCAGGGGCCACACACAGTGCCCTCCTCGTGCTGGCTGGCTGTACCCCTGCCCTGGACCCCAGCCTCTGGGGGTAATTTGGGGTCGGCACTTCCCAGCCTTTCTGTGCCCCCTCTAGAGCCAGAGTTTGGCTGGGGGTGGCTACCAGCAGGCCCAGCAGCTTCCTGGCCTGTCCCAAGAACAGGTCTGCTCTGAGTCCTCCCCGTGCAGTAGGGGATGGAGCATCACTGTGAACCAGTTGGCATCTCCCCTGGAACCATCAACTGCTTCTCGCCCATCCCCATCTCACTGGGTGGGCCCACTTTCTGGGGCACAAAAAGATGGCTCCCTCTTCACCCCCCAGTGCCTGGGCCTACATACAGTGAGGTGGGGGTTCAACTGGGGGACCCTGTGAGCTGCCAGCTGCTGTGGCTAGGGGCCAGCAAGGCACAAAGTCTCTGTCCCCAGCCTGCCCTGGCACCAGCGTTCCTACCCCTTGTTGTCGTGCCCCTGTTTGGGTCAGCCGGGGTGGGCAGCTTTTCCTTGTGGTCAGGCTGCCTGGCTGAGATGTGCGGGCCTACGGCTCCAGGGCTGGCTTTGGCTCTGTGCTGGCCTCCCCTGCAGTGTGGTGTTGGAGCGCCATGGGGTGGGGGGGGGCTACGCTGGAGTAAGAAACAAACGGTCTAGCAGATGGAGCACTGGCACTCTGGTGAAGTGGGGTTCAGCCCTGGCTCTGCCTGCTCCCCAGGCCATACCTCAGTTTCCCCACCTGTCTAAGGAGGCTGAGGTTTACAGCTGGAGGAGTGGGGCTGTCTTAGCGTATGGGGGTCCTGGCCAGAACAGGCCCCTCTGTGAGACTGCTGTACGCACCAGTCTCGGCCTCGGACGCTGAATCCTCGCTTCCGCAGCTCTCTGTCTGTTGGGCCACGGAACTTGCCCTTCCTGTTTGGAGAGGGAAGCTCTGTGTTTTGCTGGTCACGGGACTCCGGGAGCCCAGCCTTGGAGAGGCACGTCAGCCCTGCTGGAGTGGGCAGCGTTCGGGCCTGGGCCGGTCCATGGCTCCTGTGGGCTGGGAGGGGGCCAGAGGTTGATGAGCCCACCCTTCGAATGGGCTCGTGTGTCTGCCTGTGGGAGCAGGGTGTCCCGGGTCCATGAGCCTGGGGTGGGCTGCAGGTGGTGGGAGCAGAGCAGTGTTCTGCAAGGGGTGTTGGGAGACGAGACACCTGGGATGAGGTTGCTGCGGAGGAGAGAGGTGCCATGGCCCCTTCCTTGCCCCCAAGCTGGTGCCTGTAGAGGCGAAAGGCTCCTCGTCCTAGGCCCCGTGTTCCTGACCCCTGCCCCTTTCCTCGCTCCTGCTAGTTCTGGGCTCTGCCAGCGCCAGGGCAGGATCCCACCTGGGGCTTGCGGAGGCGGGTGCGGCTCTCCAGCTGGCCAGTTCCATTTGCTCCCAGGGCGGGGTTACCAGTGGCTGGCGGGCTGTCTTGGCGCCCGCCCCAAGGAGGTTGCCTAGCAGTAGCATGGCCATGCTCTCCTGCTGGGCACGTCTGAGCATGGTGCCTGGGCTGACCGTGGGCAGGCCCCGGCTCTCCCCCAGCAGAGATGAATGTTGCCTCCCCTGGGCACGTGAGATGCCCCCTGTGCTGGCTGCTGCGTGGAGCGGCAGGTGGAGGGAGAGCCTGGTGGAAGGAGCCTGCGCTGCTCTGGACTGGGTGCTCTGAGCTGCCAGAACAGCCCATTGTGAAGTGCCTGTGATTGGGGGGCACTGCCTGAGGGGCAGGGAAGAGCAGGCGCAGCTCTGTGGGGTTCATACCCCGGGCTGCTGCTCGCCATACCTAGCTGCTGGGGCTGTTACGCAGGCCCGGCTCATCCAGCGCCGAGATGTACCCACCTCTGGGGTGCTGGGGAAGTGACACACAACGCCACCCGGGGATGGCTCGTCTGGCGCTGAGACGGGGCAGCTGGAGAACAGTCTGAGTGACACTTTGCCCCTGCTGTGTGCAGCTCCCCCTGGGCTGCGGTAGCTGGTGTTTGCTGCACGGTGCTGAAGTGCTCCTGCCTTGTGCACCTGCCATGCTCCAGCGTGAAGGCAGCTGCGCCTCTGCACTGGGTAAGCACCTGTGTCGTGTTGTATGCAGCTGTTCCCCAGCTGCCTGCTCCAGAGGTGGCTGCATCTCAGTGGGGTGACGCAGTCTGTTAAGCTCCGTGCTGTTCTTCTTTGTGCTGCTGGGAAATGTCAGTGCTTCCCTTTGGATGCTCCCCTCCCCATGGCTCAGTTGTGTCCCACTGGGGTGGTGGTGCAGACTCTGTGCCTGACTGGGCTGCTGGCTAAATCGCTCCGTGCCTCAGTTTCCCCCCAGACACTGGAGCAGGTGCTCCCCTTGGTGTGAGTTTAATGCTAGGCCATATCTTGGGCATCCAGGGGTTATTGATTGTGCCTGATGCGAGGGCCTCCCAATGGGCTCTTCTCTCTGCAGTCAGGAAGCCAGGTGGCTCTGCGGGAGCAGCAGGAAGCCAGCAAGCGAGAGTGACTGAGTGGTAAATGCTGGCTTGCTCCCTGCAACTGCTGCATGGGCTCCACCACCTGTCCCAGCCTGGGGCTGCCGAGGCAGGAGGGCTGGCTTCAGCATGGGGGGTGGGAATCAATCCCCATGGCCAGTCCAGGCCTCGCCCTGTGTCCAGTCCCTCTGGGAATGGGTGAGGAGCCTGCTCTGCCTGGCACTTTGCGGGGAGACTGTATCTCTTTGATGGGGAGCCCCTTGCTCCATAGCTGTAGTGGGGCAGTCCAGGCGCCCTTGCCCCCTATGCTGGCCTGGCAGTGCTCCAGTGATGCTCCGGGGGCTCTGGGCACCTGCTGCCAGCCATGTAGTGCAGGAGTAGGAAGAGGGGTGGCTGGAACAGGTCTGTGTAGCGTGGGGTTGTCCTGGGGGGATGGATGGGCAGCGCTGGGGGCTGGGCCAGCTGAGTTCTACTTGCCACAGCTCTGTGTGGCAAGGAGAGGGTGAGGCTCATGTTTGGGGGTGGAGCTTGGGAATGTGGCTTGCAGGTCAGTAGCCTCCAGCTAACCCGGCAATGGGCAACCTTAGCTAGGGAGTGGACCCTGTGAGTGGCCTCCTTCAGCTCAGTGGCTGCAAGATTGTGGGAGCCCAGATGGCCTCCCTGGGTAGGGTAGAGTTGCTGACTGTGCTTGGGCACGAGAGGGTGAGGCTCATGTTTGGGGGTGGAGCTTGGGAATGTGGCTTGCAGGTCAGTAGCCTCCAGCTAACCCGGCAATGGGCAACCTTAGCTAGGGAGTGGACCCTGTGAGTGGCCTCCTTCAGCTCAGTGGCTGCAAGATTGTGGGAGCCCAGATGGCCTCCCTGGGTAGGGTAGAGTTGCTGACTGTGCTTGGGCACCTCGGATTCGCGGGTGAGCCGATGGAGCCGTAACAGCATGTGGATTGGCTTG